GGCGGGGGGGCCCCTGGCTCTTGTGAACCACTCTGTAGGCAGTGCCTGGGGGTCCAGAAAAGGTGCTTTCGGAGATGGCTTCTTTCCCCATAACTGTCTGAAGACAAGTCCAACAAAAGCCTTTCATTGGAGACGTCCCTAAGTAGGCAGTGTTGGATGTGCAATCTTATCTGACAGCCCAAGTCTCTACCTTTTCCTCTGCCCCTCTGGTGCAGCCAAAGGAGTGGACACATCCATCAGCTCGGCCTCCGGGGGCGGGGTCTGAGTTACAGGCTGTCAACATGTTCCGCAGCCCTCACAATTGGTGTTGACCTGAGTCATAACCCAACATCCAGGCTAGGAGGAAGCATTGGTCTTCAGGCCATTTGGAGGCCTTTGGAAGACCCTGCAGCCCTCCTCTGAAAGTTTCCCGAATGCATCTCACAAAAGAGGACACACACCCCTTCTGCCGCCATCTTTGGCCGTACTCTGGGGAAAGAAGCATGTCGCTCTCTCTCCATGCCAGGCCCTCCTTCCTGGGAAGGTTTGCTGGAGAGACTCTGTAGACCCGGACCTGGAAGATGTGGCAGGGTGGGGCTGGCCCAAGTGGGGGTGTGCAGATCAGCCTGCCGGGTACGCCCAAGTTGGATGTTGACCATGGATTCTCTGGCCTGCAGGAAGTCATGGCGTACAACAAATTCAATGTGTTCCACTGGCACGTGGTAGACGACTCCTCCTTTCCCTATGAGAGCATCACTTTCCCTGAGCTCTCCAGAAAGGTATGTTTCAATTTGCCCGGGATTTGTAGTATTGATATCCGTGCCTGGCCATGACTCTGCTGGCAAGGACAGTGGCCCTTCCCCTGACCAACCCAGTTTGCGGCCTCACACTGACAATCAGGCCAGGGTACTGGATTTACAGTTGAGACCTGAGTTGAGTTTGAATGTTATCATGAACTTGTTCCGTGACCTTCGGGGGTAATTCTCCATATGTGTCTGGAAGGATATATACTCTAATAAATGGATATGATTCCTACCTTACTTAGGTCACTGGCGTGGTGGCACTCAGATAAAACAAGAGATGTGATCGCTTGTGGGGAATGATGGTCACGTTCTCTCGGCAGGGCGTCTCCGATACCAAAAGACAATGGGGAGATTTTTTGGTGTCTGGGGAGTTTGGGGAACATTCTGAGCCTCCCGAGCGTAGTCCAATGGCCTTCAGGACATGAGACCCTGAGGGATGCCTTGTACCTTTCAGGGTGCCTACAACCCTGCCACCCATATCTACACAGTGCAGGACGTGAAAGAGGTGATTGAGTACGCTCGGCTCCGGGGCATCCGTGTGGTGCCAGAGTTTGACACTCCCGGCCACACTCTGTCCTGGGGAGCAGGTAAGCAGAGTCTCTGAGGTGGGGAGAGGCTACTGGCCCTCCTCGGTGGGGATTTGGGGCATTGGCTCATCCCTGGAAGAATGTTTTCCATCAACTTTTTCCTCCTGGGAGTCTGGACAGGAAGAACTTATTTCAGATGAAGCCTCTGCTTACTTTGAAAACATGGGCAGAGGCGCAAGGCTTTGAACCAGTTCACGCATGGCCGCTGAGGTGAAAGCAAGAGAGACCTGGCTTTTTAACCTCTGGGCGAACAGAGACAGTGAGCAGAATGGGGATAAAAGGACGGCCAAGGTGCGTGTGAGCCCTTTCAGGAACTTGATGCAGGAGACTGGCTCTCTGGCAAAGCTGCAGAGAGCCGACCCGCCTTCCAGTGGGGTGGCCAGCTGTCGGCCGTGAGCTGCCACAGTGGTTTGCGTTCAGGGAGATGAAGTTTCTAGTAGGGTTGTAACTCTGGTTTTTGCCCTACCTGTGACCACTGCGGGTCATCCACGTTTCGTCCCGGTCTGTGTCAGTGTAGTGTCCTCGACCATGGTTTCACCGGGCTGACCTCGTTCAGAGACCTTGCAAGTTCTCCCCCGATGCCCCTGCTTCAGGGCACCTTGCATGCGGTTGTGCCTTAGAGAGAACGCTGAAGAGTGACCCACAAGGTCACGTTTAAAAGAAGGAAACCTGACGTGGCCTCCCAAGGTGGAGCTGGCCATCTCCACTCCTGCTCACCCCCCACCGCCCACCCTGGTGCCCCCGCTGAGCCTCAAAGCTGGTTAAAGGAATAGGGAGGGAAGGGTGTTGTCAAGCCGTGGAGGCAAAGTCCTGGCCACGGGAGCTGCTTCTTAGGACACGGATGAAGATTCTGCTGGGGTGGGGAGGTGGGGGTTTCCAAGAGGACGTGGGAAAGAAAGGCTTTGCCCTTTGGCTGAAGCTGGCCCCTCCCTCTGCTCGCCCCGACCAGGCTGTGTGAGGAGGGGGGCGGCCTTTGACAAGAGTGTGTTTGTGGTTGTAATAACCTCCGACTGACTGTCTTGAATGTGATTATGGATATTGGTATTTCTCGGACTGAGACTAAATGGCAGTGATTACAAGTGTCCGTGGGTGCCGGGGCCTGTGCGGACAGGCGTGCTGCGGGTCAGGACGCCCGTGATTTAGCTGTGTCTGACTGTGCACAGGGCTCCGGGTGTTGGTGGCACTGATGCGGGACTCTGTTGGTTTAGGTGCCCCTGGATTGTTGACACCCTGCTACTCCGGCCGCAAACCATCTGGTGTCTTTGGCCCTGTGAACCCCATTCTCAACAGTACCTATGAGTTCATGAGTGCATTCTTCTTGGAGATCAGCAGTGTCTTCCAGGACTTTTACATTCACCTGGGAGGCGATGAGGTTGATTTCTCCTGCTGGTATGAGCCCTCTGATCTCCCTTCCCAGCCTGAGGAAGGGCTGGGGAAGAGCTCCTTGGGGTGGCTCCTCAGGGGACCAACCCAGGGACAAGCCATCTGTCACCTCCAGATGGCTCAGCCCTGGGGCCTCTCCTCTGCCCACCTGGTTCGGGCAAGGCTGTGAGTGTAACCCTCTCCCTCCCTCAGCCCTCAGAGCCTTGAGACATTTATGGAAAGAGCAGCTCTGGGCACAAAATTGTCATGGCAAAATCCAGGCGAGGGAAAACTAATCCCTGCTTACAGAGGCTTAAAATAGTCTGGCTGAAGAGGTAAGAGCCAGACGAATCTAAGGCTAGCACAGGTCAGGGTCGAACCCGCTATTAAATCATAAGGCCCACGCCCTCAGGTATGTGAGCTTTAACAGGTTTGAGCGGCTTCTTAAGAGTATTGGGGGAGGGGGAGCAGGGAGAGAGGGGGAAAAATGAGAAGCTGATGCCAGGGGCTCAGGTGGAGAATAAATGTTTTGAGAACGATTAGGGCAATGAATTTACAAATGTGCTTTACACAATTAAAAAGAAAAAAAAAATTTAAGGGTATTGGGTGGCCCCTTGAGCTGGGCCAGGGGAAGCTGGCTTTTTAGAGACATGTGGGGGGAGGGGGAGGGACACTCCAGGAAGGGAACAGTGTGAGTAAACTGTGGACTTGGGGCAAGTGAGCGGCAGTGGGCCAGAGACCCCATGACTTACTGTCCAGCTGCAATGAAGTATAAATACCAAGGCCCAGCAGAGCCCGTGCGGGGCTGGGGTGTGAGTGGGTCACCAGAGCCTCAGGGGTGGGAGCCCCAAGACCAGATTTGGATCCATGGTGCTCTCCGGGAGAGGGGGAGTAGGCACTCTCTGAGGCTTGAACCAAGAACTGCAGACCCACACTCATCCTGCCTCCACCTGTCAGCAGCCGCTCCGCATAGCTCTGTTCACCCTGCACACCTTCCACCTTTGGGGCTTCTGTGATCCTCCCTTGTTTGTTTCTTCAGATGGCGCAGGGAGGTTGTGGGCAGCCTGGGGACTAATCACCAAGCTTTAAGCCGCCCAGATGTTGACAGAATTCATCTCTGTTTTCCGTCGGGATGCAGGAAGTCCAATCCGGATGTCCAGGCCTTCATGGTGAAGAAAGGCTTTGAAAGCTACCAGCAGCTGGAGTCCTACTACATCCGGATGTGAGCACTGCAGGCGGGCGGCCAGGGCTCTCTTGCGGGTGGGCTGGCGACCAGGGAACCCTCCCTTTCCATCCCAAGGCCAGGCCTCCCTCGACTGCTCCCAGGCCCCGAGCGCTTCCTGTGGGCTATCCCATCAGGTGTGGAGTGGTCAGTTCCCAGCCCCTGGGGAGGCCCCAGGTCAGCCCCAGCCCCAGTCCCTGTCTGAGCTGAGCTGGATCCTTGTTTACACCCCTCCTCTCCAGGCTGCTGAATATCGTCTCTGCCTATAGCAGGGGCTACATGGTGTGGCAAGAGGTGTTTGATAATAAAGTGAAGGTAAGCAGGAGCTACCAGCGGTGCACACCCTCCCTGGTCTCCCTGGCTCTCCCCTGCCCTGCAGTGGCCAGTCTTCCTGGTGTGGATCTGTCCCTCTTCTTCTAGAAAGGGCACTCAGTCGTGAGCCCTGGGCATGTGACAGTGCCGTTGCCCTTGCCAGAAATGAATCAAAAGTGATTCCTGCTGCCAGACTTAGAATTCCTTGGAGTGGCGTGAGGGGCTGGACTTTGCCCCCAGACTCATCGACTGAGGTCTCCCAAGTTTCTGGGAACCAGGCTTCCTTCTCCTTCACTGTTAATTAATTAGGCCTCCGCCTCCTGCCACCTGCAGGACCTTGGGAGGAACCTTGTCCCATCCCCAGAAGTAGCTGGAGACCCTTAGCTGGGTTGCTTGTGTAAGGAGGCCCAGGCACCTCTTCAGCCGTATCTGTCATTGCCACCATTTGATCTTCTGTGACAGGTCCAGTCCGACACCATCATACACGTCTGGCGAGAAAAGTCACCAGTAAATTATTCGCAGGAGATGGAACAGGTCACCCGAGCTGGCTTCCGCGCCCTGCTCTCTGCCCCCTGGTACCTGAATCACATAGAATACGGCCCTGACTGGAAGGAGGCCTACCTGGTGGAGCCCCTGGCATTTGACGGTGACGCCTGGAGCTCACTCTGCTGAGCAAAGTGGCTGGGCTGGGGCGCAGGCCAGGAGGCCGGGGCACACCTTTCGGTGTAGGAGCCAAACAGCTTCCCTGAGGCGAAGGCCACATCAGGAGGGTCCCCTTGTTTGCCCCCCCACCAGCAGCAGCCTCTTGTTGCTTGTTTCCCCTCAGGAAGCTCTAAGCAGAAGGCCCTGGTGATGGGCGGAGAGGCCTGCATGTGGGGCGAGTACGTGGACAGCACCAACCTGGCCCCCAGGCTCTGGTAAGGGCTGTCTTAGGGAAGTGGGTTGGAGGAAGTTGGGTTAGTGGGCAGGGGCGCCCTTACACATTCAATCCTTCCCAGTCACCCCCAGACTCAATCCCTCCGCTCAGGTCTGGGACCCTTGGGTTTGATGTAATAGTCACTTCCCACCTCCGGCAGCCCTGTAGATGTGCAGGGTCAAGATGAATGAGGCCTGGCCAGCAGAGGAGTTCCCATGCCCAGGACCCCGTTAGCCCCCAGGAAGAGCCTGTGGTTCCCCGAACACCCTGGTTCTCCACCTTCCTCATGCCGAGACCCTTTCATGCAGTTCCTCATGTGGCGGTGACCCCCAACCATCAAATTATTTTCATTGCTACTTCATCACTGTCATTTTGCTACTGTGATGAATCACCATGTAAATATCTGATAGGCAGGATATATTTCGATTGTTACAAATTGAACTTAATTAAAGCATAGCGATGAATCACAAAAACAATAGGTAATTATATATTGTGAAATATTTATTTCTAATGACAAATAAATGAAATTATGTCTTAAAGCATGGGGTAGCATGGGTAACAGTCTTCATGCTGGGTACTCATAGGTGGGCGTATCTGCATGTGGGTGGACCCGACTGGAGATGAATAGAGGAGCGGTGTCTCAGTTCCTAAGACCATCAGAAATATGTGTTTTCTGATGGTCTTAGATGACCCTTGTGAAAGGGTTGTTTGACCCCCAGAGGGGTCATGACCCACAGGTTGAGAACTGCCACTAACAAGCCTGGCCTGTGCCGTTTTCTCAACAGGCCACAGCCTCACCAAGCCTGGTTGGGTGTGTAGCACTTACGTTTGAGAATGCCTGCCGCTAGTAAAAGTGTGCGCTGCCTTTAAGACTGCCTTTGGGAGGGTTTGGGGTGGGATCACTCCGATTGAACATGGAGCTGGACCCTACAACTGGGAGCCCTGCAGCCGGGCTGTGGCTCTGAGCAAGTTGCTAACCACATCCTTTGGCCATGGCCGCTCTAGAGACCTAAACACCAGGTGGTGGTCTGCAGCTGGCTGGCAGCCCTGCAGGAGCACGCACGAGCCCACCAGGTTGTGTGCCCCTTTCCTCCAGGCCCAGAGCAGGGGCCGTTGCTGAGAGGCTGTGGAGCGACAGTGGCGTGATAGACTTGGAATTTGCCTTTAAGCGTTTGACAAACTTCCGCTGTGAGCTGGTGAGGTAAGTAGGGTGGGTGGGTGAGGCAGGTCAGGGGCTGGGGGCCGACTCCCTCGGAAGAGCAGAGTAATGTCAACGCCACCGTTCACAGAGCACTCGGCCTGCGGCAAACACTGTGCTGAGCCTCGTACATGCGTTGCCTTGCTTGGCCTTCGCTCAACCCCTGCCAAGCCCCATTTTACAGTTAGGCACCTGAGGCACAGAGATGCCAAAATCACTAGCCTCAGAGCTGGGGTTGAAGCCAGGCTGGCTTCAGTTTCTGGTGGGCTTCCCTGGCACCAGGGCCTCTGTTGAGGCTGGACCCGCTTCTTCACTGACTGTGCTTGGGACTGTGCGTCCCAGCGGGTGGCAGGGCAGAGTCCCAGACAGAGAGCTGGGCATTGCTGGGTCTAGTTCAGGGGTGACCGAGGGGCTGCTTGCCATCACTGAGCATGTGGCTTGTTTGTGTAGCAAGAGAGACAGGCCTAGAAGTCCTCTAATGAGACTGGTCAGAGCTTCGAACTCAGGAAGCTAAAACCTGAGAACCGGAGTTCCCGGCCAGGCCAGGTGCGTGGACTGGTGAGTGCCTTGGTCCCCTACACTACTGCACGGATAGCCCTTTACCACCAGGAAAGGGGCTCAGTAAGCCAGGCACTAGAAGCACTTGGGAAGCCCCCTTCCAGGGGTTAGGGCGAAAGGTTGGCGAGAACCTGTATCTCAGTGCTAAGAGACAGGCAAGAGAGAAATAGAGGTCCCCCAGACGAGAGAAAGAATTCTGGGGCTACCTGTATCACAATCACTTGAGCTATTTTGTTCAAAAACTCGCCAACCTTTGCCCCTAACCCCTGGAATTGAGCTTCCCAAATACTTGCCATTGTGCACGGGCCCTCTGAGACCCACTGGGGCGGGGAGGAGAGGCTGCTGCTGTGGAGAAAGGGTCGCGGTGGCCTGAGCATCTCACCATTTCTTCATGTCTTCTTGCAGGCGGGGGGTCGCGGCCCAGCCCCTCGATGTAGGCTACTGTGAACAGGAGTTTGAACAGACTTGAGCAAGCAACCCAGGCACCAAGGAGGGTGCCGGCCTGAGGAAAATGGCCGTAGGGCCAGGCTGGCCAGGCTTTCACGACATCCGGCTGGGGAACGGAGCCCCATGCCCGCGTGCCCCTGGGCTTGGAGAGGAGGGGGCTGATGCTGGTGCTGGCACCCAATAAAGCATGAAGTGGCATTCTTCTATCATGAGCATGGATCACCTGAGTTTGTCAAAACCAACCAGACATGTGAGCAGCCTGGGGTGAGGGAGGAGCTAGCATTGGCCTGGAATCCGCCCCTCCAGGGATCCGGGAAGCTGAGGACTGGCAATGAAACCCGGGGTCTGTGCTACCCTGCTTGTCTCCCAGCTCCCCACCCAGCCCAGACACCTCTCCCCGCCTCTGCCAGGGCTTCCCTTCAGCATTAGAGCCCCCAGTCTTCTGTATATGGACAAAGACTTCATAGGAACCTGAAGGAGGGAAGGTCAAGGCAAAAACTTCAGCCCCAGGGACCCCTCTCTCCTGTAGCCTCCCACTGCTGCCCTCCTCTGGAACTTCTCTCCCAGGGACTCTTGTCACTGCCATTGTCTGAAACCTGTATGTCAATATGGAGCCAATCCTGTGGGCTGGGTCCTGTGGCAGGTGTTGAGTTTGAAGAAAGCCCTGATCAGTCCCTAACAGCAATACAGCCAGCTTGCGACACCGCTCCAAGCCCCTGGCAGGGAATTGACAGCACAGCTGAGCTTCTAAGAGCCGAGTCTCTGGGGCAAAGGGGATGAGCTTGTGGCTCTGGAAGGCGGGGCATGGCATCCGTTCCAGAGAGGGAAAGTCTCATGGTGGACGAGCTGCCCCTTGGTGAATTCCCAGGCAGTCCTTTTGAGATGAGGGCTTTATCCGTGAAGTTCGCTTGCCTGAGGGCTTTATCCGTGAAGTTCGCTTGCCTGGTCTTGTGCCAGAGGAAAGTAAAGCGGAGCCAGGAAAGGATCCAAGTAAAATGCTGACCTTCACGTCACGCTTCAGTGCCCCAGTCATCTTCCTCTGAGGTCCTGATTGGGGGTAGGCCCGCCCTGCTTTCTTGCACCCCTTCTGGATCCACAGGCTGGGCATCTGCTTGTACAAATCGCATTGGGAATGGGGTGTTCACACAGGCCGGGACTCCGTGACTTCAGAGATATGAAAATTAGGGTTCACTTTCTACGGACAGGAGCTTCTTGTTTCTGTCACTCTGTGGGGCAGCCCCTGGCCAGGACCCAGCTCAACTGTACACACATTTCAAATGCTCCTCCTTCCCTCTGTGCCTGGCTGTGGCGTGGGCATGGCCTGGCAGAGTGTGGAGGGCAGAAAGCAGGCACCAGGGTGTAAGTGTAAAGCAGTGGAGGCAGAGACGACAAAAACCCATGCCACGTTAGACAATCAAGTTCTCGCTTCCTCTTGTGGATGGTTTTGTCAGTGTTATTTTTATATGAGAAATATATTCCATTTTGGTAGATGAAAAAAATAGGGTTATTTTGAGGAAAAATGACGACAAAACACAAGGAGCAAAACACAACGTGGACCAATGGAACCTCATAAAAATTAAGTACAAGCAAAAAAATGGGCAAAAGACTTGAAGAGCCATTGCATCCGAGGGGACACATAGTTGTGCAACGAACATATGAAAAGATGCTTAACATCATGAGCCACGCACTGCCCTCGAGGTGATGACCAGCAGGAAGAAGCAAACCAAGGCCCCAGTGAAATGTGGCCTGAGCCTTTTTAGAATGGCAAGGAGTTAAAAAGCTGAAGGAAACATGAAGGATACTGTGGAAGTTGTAGAGAAACTAGAACCTTCTTCCATGGCTGCTGGAAATCGTAGCAGCTGTGGAAGAGTTTGGCAGTTCCTCAAAAAGTGGAATATGGAATTACTACATGATCTAGCCAGCCCCATCCTAGCTGTCTGCACCAAAGATGTGGACGCCAGGAGGCAAACAAGCGGTACACGAGGGGTCACTGCCCGGTCCACGCGAGGCAAGGACTGGGAAAGTCCTGATGTGCATCAGCAGATGAATGGCTCAAGTGTGGCTTGAACATCTAATGAAGTATTACTCAGTCTTACACGCAGGCCACACTATGGATAAGAGCTGCTGAAATAAGTCCATTACAAAAGGAAAAATAGTGCATGAGCTCATATGGAAAGCAAATCTTTTAGGAGAAAAACAAATTGGTTACCAGACGGGGGAAGGAAAGGGGAGTTTTGCTTAGGGGCCATGGAGTTATGTTCATTATAATGCAGAAATGGCTGTACACCGTGAGTATAATCAATGTCACTGAATTTTGCATGCGGAACTGTTGAATTGACTAATGTTTGCTCTCTAGATTTTCACAAGGGTCCAGCAGAAATGCTGGGCTCTCAGCCCTAGCCAGCATGCAAACCCCTTCTCTATCCCCACCTAGCGCAACGTGCCATCTCGCCTTCTCAAGACGTCTCACGGAAACCTTCCCCCCTCTCTTCTGGTGCCACAGCCAGTGGGGGGACGTGGGCTCCTTTCAGACATGATCGTTTCTTTCTGTCCCCAAAGTTTATTAACACGAGGTTCCTTTGTTCACGCTCTCTGACTTTCTTCACCCTCTCGTGTGGCCGGATGTCCGTCCCTCCGTCTCTTCCTCTCTCTTTCTTACTTTCGACTATTCTCTTTACTGTCTTCCAATCTCGCCCACCCTGCCCCCTTTACTTTCATTCCATTCTAAACACCTGGGCAGGTCATTAACACTAATAAACCTGTTCATTAAAACCCACACTCTGGGTCCGCTTTCCTTTTATTCCCATTCTAACACACTGCAATTGCAATTAAGAACCCCAGGTCCAAGGGGGGAATTGAGGAGCTGATGCCAAGGGCTCACGTGGAAAGGGAATGTTTTGAGACCGATGATGGCAACAGGTGTGCAAATGTGCTTGACACAATGGATCGATGGATGGATTGTTCTTTTTCTGAAAAAGAACGCCAGGTCCTTAGCTGCCATTGAGTGACCTGGGCTCCTGAAAATGCCGGGTCCCACGGCCTGAGTCTGGCATCCTGGTCACGGTTGTTCCCAGGAGTGAGCCCCTGGCTGCAGCCACTGTGTCAGTCCATCTGGTTGAAGGGTTTCTCTCGTTCACTGACCTATCGTGCATGACGTCCTCCGCCTGATATGTCCACTGTAAAATATGGACGGTAGTTAATCAGTATCAATTCAAAAATTATACCAAATGTACCATACAAAGGCAAGTTGTTGATAAGAGAAACCGTGTTGAAGGGGTACACGGAACTCTGTACTTTCTACAAACAAAACTGCCCTAAATAAAGTCTATTAAAAACTTCTTTTTTTGAATACCCGGATTAAGTTCTTCAATGATGGAGTGTTGTCCACCTCCACCATTGGCCTTCTGGGCCATTGGTCATGAAGGCATTTACCTGAAGCTATGTGTTGTCAGACCTTGAACTACTGACAGATGGGAGGCATGCCCCACAACAACAAGCAAAGTCTGTGCACCTGGGCTACGAAGTTACCGCAGCACCTGGCCAGACAGCTCAGGCCCCTTTGTGTTCCTCGTGCACCACCAGGGGGCAGGGAAGAGCTGGGACTGGTTTCCAGACTACAGTCAGCCCAAGGACAGCGTTCTTGCTCCGCTCCAAAGGAAATGACTGAGGGTCTGGTAGGAGAGGAGGCTGCCTGTCAGGTACCACTCCTTGGCATGTTGAGTGGTGCTGAATGGAGATGACGTGTTTACAGGTGCACATTGAAATAGGCAGAAGTGACACTGACAAAGGGTAAAAATATGATCATATGGCCCTTGACTGAATTTGAATTTTACTCATGAACACACTTCAGTGGCAACATGGCTAGCATTCTAAATTTACCATTTTTATACCTCCTGCCAGTAACTTAACAATAATGAATACAATGTTTTCTGTTTGGTTTTACATTAGAAAGGAAAGAGGTAGCTATTGGGTGCTTCATATTTTAAATTCTGAGGGGTTTTTTCCATGACAAGAAAATAAACTTTGAAAGACTGAAAACAATTTGTTTTCTTTCGTGCCAGCCAGCTGTTATCAATATGAAACGAAATACATGTTAAGAAATTCCAGGCGCGTGTGTGCTGTCTCAGTTGTGTTTGTAATGGTCACTACGATCATGCTTATTTTCAGTCTCGCCGCATCTGGAGCGTCTGACATCGAGCAGTTGTGTCTCTGCAGCATTAGCAATCTCTTGATGCCTCACCTTGTAGTAAACTGAAAGTCACTCAACACAGGTGTGTGTGTAGGAAGAAGGGCGTCTTTGCTCCCTGGGTGGGCTGCTGAATGTGCGAGGGAGGGTGTGTTGCTGGGTGTGTGGAGAGAGTATTTATCTGAAAGCGAAGACATTTGAATGTAGAACTTTGGAGGAACCGAGACTGATCGTTTCTCTAGACCCACGCCAGTCAGAAATGTGAGCAAAGGTACCTTTGCAGATACAGCTAGGGGACAAAGAGCACCTTGCCCTGTTTATGTGCCTGCTGGGTCCAGCACAGTTACAAACACTTAACTACGCGTTCACTCCACCCAGCCAGTGAGGAGGGCGTCTGTGACTAGACTCCTTAGATGCACAGAAGGAGACAGAGATTGAAACATTGATATGTTTATGATCACACAGCTGGGCTGTTAGGAGTTGTACTCTGAAGATGGTTCCAAACTGCACCCACTGAAATGTCTTCACACTGTCCCACTTCAATGGCTGCTGCGGCTCTGAGCGGCAGACGGTGCCTGTCTGCCCTGGAGAGCCACATACACAGGGAGCTGCTGATTCTGCTCCAACTGGGCTCTCGAGCCCGTTCCCCCACACCTCCCGGGGGACCTTGCTTCATTAATTACCCCTTACTCCCCAGTCTCTTCCATATAGATGGCTCTTTTCCTTCAGCACATAAATAGGCATAATCTCCCTAAACTCTAAATGAAATGAACACCTCTTCAGTCTTCTGAAGGAGTCTTGGTGGCCCTGTGGGGTAGGCATTGAGCTGCTAACCACAAGATTGGTGGTTCAAACCCATCAGCTGTTCAAGGGAGATTAGTACGGCTGTGTGCTCTTGTAAAGACGTATAGCCTTGAAAGCCCCCAGAAGCAGTCCTCTGCTCTAATTTGTTTTCACTCAGCTCATCTGTATGTGAAAGTTGGACATTGAATAAGGAAGACCAAAGAAGAACCAGTGCATTTGAAT